CCACTTAATAGCTAATTGTTGAATTTTCTTTCTTTTTAACAGGGAACTTCAAGACCTTTACAACATTTCACCGCAGCTTTCCCTGACGAATTTCATATTGAATGCAATCCCAAGCAGGCATCACACAGATATGCAAATATATATTAGATTCACAGAAGAATAACTCAAATTTAGGTTCACATTAGAAGGAATAGTTCACCCGAAAAATTAAAATTCACTCATTTACTCACCCTAATGTCTTTCCACACCACTATGACATTCTTTCCTTTGTGCAACAGTTGCTCTTTTCACAATTACACTGGGAACTGAAGTGCTATATATAACACAAGAGTTTATATCTGACATTTCAGACTTTTTTTTTGAGATAAACCCAGAACTGTGAGATATAAACTCAGAATTGTTTATTAAATCAAATTGTGAGAAAAAAAAATCTGAATTGCGATAAGTTAATTTGCAATTGCAAGAAACAAAAGGCAGACTTGTGAGATAAAAAGTCACATTTATCTTTTTTTTACAGTATGTTTTATTGCATGGTGGAAACCAAAAACCGAATTGCAAAATGCAAACTCGGAGAAACTGCAATACGAATTCGTAGAAAAAAGTCAGAATTGCGTGATGTAAATTCAGAGTTCGGAGAAAATAATTCAAAATTCACAAAATCTGAACTCAGTTTATATATCGCAATTTAGACTTTTTCTCAGAATTCTGAATTTATATCTCGTGAATTTGACAATTCAGATTTTTTTCCTCGCAATTGTATTATAAATTCAGAATAGCAAAAAATGCAGACTCGTGACATAAAAAGTCATAATTATCTTTTTCATAGTGTGTTTTATTTTATGGTGGAACAAAAAACGAGAATTGCGATATGTAAATTCAGAATTCAGAGAAAAATGTGCAACATTTTTCAATATCTATACTCTTTACATATCACAATTCAGATTTTTTTCCCTTCAGAATTCTGAGTTTATATCTCGCAAATCTGACAATTCAGTTTTTTTTCCTCGCAATTCTAATATAAATTCAGAATAACAAAAAAGGCAGACTTGTGAGATAAAAAAATCACAGTTACCTTTTTTTATAGTATGTTTTATTTTATGGTGGAACAAAAAACGAGAATTGAGATATGTAAACTCAGAATTCAGAGAAAAAGGTCCGAATTGCATTATGCAAATTCAGAATTCAGAAAAAAATTTGCAAAATCTAAACTCTTTATATAACGCAAATAAGAGAAT